CCTCACCTTGCAAGAAACAATACCTCAATTAATAACAGTAATAAAAATGAAAAGAAGTACACAGAAACTGGCAAAAAGTATACAGAAGCAAAGCACTCCTTTGTAACTGGGAGAGCGTGAAAAACTGAGCTCAAAGGCCACTTCCTTATCCAGGGTACAGATTCCGACAGAACGTTTGAGAAATGGGCAGAGAAAGTTTGCTTTCATCTATGCTTGGTTTGCCAAGCAACCGTTTCCCAACTTTGTCTCATCTGTCCCAGGAGGAGCCTGCACTCTAAGCCAGTTCTGTGTCTCCACAGCTAACTACTACTACTACTAATGCTAAACAAACTCCCTTATAGAGATCAAAGCAGCAAAGCTCCAAACCAGTGAGATAAGAGTAAGAAAGTTCCAGAGAAACCCTGTCTCAGAAAAAAAAGGATTAAGAAAGTTAAATAATAGTTTGATTTTCCTCCCAACTTCTATCTTGATGTTATTTTAAAGGAAATATTAAATATCTTCACTTTTAAATACTTTATCTTTTGGAGAGGGGAGTACCCCATCTGCTGCCGGTGCTTAGTGAGCAAGGACAGGGCCATTGGTCTGATAGGAGACTAAATATGCTTCCTATAACTCGAAAAGATGAAGTTTGTAGCCTACTTTAAAAAGCAAACATTTATTGGACTGGAGAGATGCCTCCGTGGCTAAAAGGGCACTTGTTGCTCTTGCAGAGGGCCTGGGTTCTATTCCCAGCTTACATGATAGTTCTCAACTGTCTGTTACTCTAGTTTCAGGATCCATACACCCTCGTCTGACCTCTGCAGACACTACATATATGCAGTGCACACACATACATGTAAGCAAAACATTCATTCACATTAGATGAAACAAAGTAAAACTCCTATATTTGTTGGTGTGTGTGAGTGCCTTGGCATGTATGTAGCAGGCAGAGGACAACTTGCAGGAGTCAGTTCTCCCCTTCCTCTCCATGGGTTCCAGGCATCAAACTGGGGAAGATGAGCTTGGCAGCATGGAAACAGAGGCTGCTCACTCATTTCCTGACCGCTCAGACCCAAATAATCACACAGAAACTCTGTTAATTACATCACTATTCGGTCAATGACTCAGGCATATTTCTAGCTAGCTCTTATATCTTGAATTAACCCATTTCTATTAATCTGTGTATCACCTTAGGTTGTGGCCTACTGGTAAGGTAAGGTTCCAGTGGGCATCTTTCTCCTTTGTCAGCCACATGGCGTCTTCCTGACTTGACCTACTCTCCCTCTATATCTCTGTTCAGATTTCCCACCTGGCTTTACTCTGCTAAGCCATTGACCTAAGCAGCTTCTTCTTGTTGTTGTTTTTGATTTTGAGACATGGTTTCATAATGTGGCCAGGCTGGCTTAGAACCTGATATGTAGACAAACTAGACTGGCCTCAAATTCAGAGATCAACCTGCCTTTGTCTCCCAAATGCTGGGATTAAAGGAGTGGGGCACCACTGGCTGGTGACTATATCCCTTAAGCTGTGAGCCAGCCTTTCTCACTTTAAGGTTGGGTCTTTCAGGCACTTTGTCAGAACAGGGAGAAAGTAACAAATACACTCAAATTTTATATATATATACACAATGTAAATAACAAACTCTTCTCAAGTTCTTTCCCTCTTACTGTATGTTGAAAGAACTGACCAGGTTCCATTAAAATTACTTCTCTCTGTGAACTGTTACCCCAAGATGGCATGTTCTATGACTGTTTTGATGTCACTGTTTGCCTACTTTTGACCAATTATGTTGACTGTCAGACGCCCAGACCTTCCACATCACTAGACCCTCTCTAGGTAGGCCCAACCCAGGGCCAGCACCAATTTGTCCTTTGACAAAAGAGGCCTAAGCAGCTTCTTTAATAACCAATAAAAGCAACACATATACAGAAGGACATCCCACATCAGCAGCAAGCACCTTTACCCTCTGACCTATATCACTGCCCCTGTGGTCTATTTTTGTTTCTATAGCAACCTATATGCTCTAGAAGGGAAAAATACTGAGAAGTATGATTTTTTTATAATCAAATGTGAAGCCACACACCACTGTATACCATATGTATCATAGGAAACACTCAGAATTCCAACCTAAGGAGAAAAAAACAATGAGAAATAAAGGAAACCACAAAATCTGTTGTAAATAAGAACCTAAATTTATTTAAGCCAGATAATAACACCTGCAAAAACAGAAATCTAAATGTCACTAAGCATTCACATCATACTGAATTTGTGTATGCATATGTTATGAAATACAAGATCCAGAAGTTAACAGAAACCAATTTTTTTTTTGCTTCTTTGGAGTAAATCAAACTGCTAGATTAGATGGCAGAAAATGATCACTTAGTCTTAATGATAAAAACTTGGTAAATCATCAACAGTAAAAGGTTTAAGCTGGATGTAGAAGTGAGACATAATGATGTATCCATGCACTTGGGAGACAGAGGAAGGCAGATCCTGAGAGATGGCTTGTGGAATATTAGTTGCAGATATGTTATATTTGTTTATGCTGTAGAATGTTTGTTTAATGAAACAAAGATGTGTTGTGTTCTTTTAGGTTGCATTTGTTTAACTCTATGAAGTTGTGTTACTTTGCCTACTTAAAACACCTAATTGGTCTAATAAAGAGCTGAATGGCCAATAGCTAGGCAGAAGAAAGGACAGACAGGGCTGGCAGACAGAGAGAATAAAGAGAAAGAGAAATCTGGGAACAGAGATCAGGGAACAAGAAAAGAAGGGTAGGAGTATGCCAGGCACCCAGCCACACTGCCAGACATGGACTAAGAAGGAAAGAGAGATATACAGCAAGCGTGAACAGTAGAAGCCCAGAGGCTAAAGGTAGACAGGATAACTGAAGAAAAGCAGACTAGAAAGAAGCCAAGCTAAGGCCAGGCATTTATAAGTAAGACTAGGTCTCTGTGTGATTATTTCGGAGCTGGGTGACGGGCCCCCCAAAGAGTAAAAGAGAAATCAACAACAACAACAAGATCAGTCTAGGATATATGCAAGAACTTGGATAGTAGGCAGGAGGGTCAGAGTTGAAGAAAAGCCTTGGTTACATTTCAAGACCAATTTGGCCTACATGAGACTCTGTCTCAAAAACACAAAACCAAGACTGAAGTAAAAGCTAGTACTTCCACTTATTAATTATGTTACCTTGGTGACTACCTAATAGTCTCTGCACACCAGTTTTCTGTGGAAAGACTGGAGTTACTAAGTGAATTGATCTCATTAACATAAGGCACACACAGAGTAACTACTTAATAAATGCTTGCTACTATTTTCTGGCCAAATGTTTTCATGTGTACACCTGTGTCTTAAGGAAGAGCTCAAGACATTCATCTGCCATTTAGGAGAGTGGGTGGAACACAGATCACCAGAACACTCTCTACTAGGATTTTCTTCTGACATGGAAACTGCTCACAGAGAGCTGTGACATGCCAGACAGACCCTACAGGAGGTTTAGTTCTTCTTACTCACGTCCAGGGAAAGGATTAGAAAGACTATAAGAGAGACAACATAGATTGGTGGGATTGAGTCAAAGGGTTAAGAAAAACCAAAAAACAAGGAAAAAAAACAAAAAACAAAACCCACAACCAAGCCAACAAAACACACAAAACACAAAAAACAAACTACTACATTTCAGGTAACAGTTATTAGAAAATGTTAAACTAAGGCAAGGTTATTTATCTGTTCAATTTAAAACAGGAAATATTCAAAACCACAGCATAATATATGGGGGTAAAATGTGAAAACCATGTTCACGTCTGTGGCGGGGTGAGTGCACCTTTTGAGGCTGATTCCAAGGATCAGGAAGAGTAGAGCCCACGATAAAGGCCTGGCCAGAGTCTCACCAATACATGTTAGGTTAAGAAACTATTTTCCAAATGAATATCAAAGTCCCTGGTCCTGCTTCTGCCAAAGATTTGAGGAGGGCCAGTCGGTGGTGGCACATGCCTTTAACCCAGGACTGGGGAGGCAGAGGCAGATGTATCTTTGAAAGTTCAAGGCCAGGCTGGTCTACAAGAGCTAGTTCCAGGACAGGCACCAAAGCTACAGAGAAACCCTGTCTCGAAAAAAAAAAAAAAAAGAAAACAAAACAAAACAAAAAATCCCAAAGATTTGAGGAGCACATCTTTTTATATGCTCATCTGTCTGCTGAGCTGAGTCAGGCAACAAACATACACTAAGCACCAACTGTCTACAAGGTTCTGTATCCTGAAAAATAAGACTCTTCTTGTTCTACTTATTATCAAAGGTTGCCTGACCTCCTGGGCATGTTTCTCACTGTGGGTAGGGAGGGAAGTAGGGGTCTTTTCCAGCCAATCCTGTTTTTAAACTTTCCATTTACACAATGGTTTCACTTCCTCATTTACACCAGGGTTTTACTTTTCCAGGCAGAGATTAAAAACCAAACAACTAACATACCACAAGAGAGATGGCCACAGAAAATGATCAAAGGTGTTGGGATAGAACTTACTGCCCTTGGGTTTAAGTCCCAACACCAAAATCAAACCAACCAAACCAACCAAAAGAGGCAACAACAAAAACCCCAAACAAACAAATACAATCAGGCATGTAGCACATGTCTTTAACCCCAGCTTCAGAAGGCTGATGCAGGCAGATCGAAATTCAAGATTAATCTGGTCCACAAAGAGAGTTCAAGAGCTTCACAGAGAGACCATGTATCAAGCAAAACAAGCAGCAGGAGAGGTTCTACTAGCTGCCAGTGGTTCAATGAAAGATACAGAAAGTGATTTCATACTGGGCAGCATCCCCGATAGAACAGAAGAATGAGATCAGATTTCCTCAGCAAAAATTTGAAATCCTTTATGTTTTTCTGTCCTAAAATTTGTCTCTCTGTGTATGTGCGCGCACGTGTGAATGTGTTTACAGGTGCATTTAGAGGTCAGAGGGTGATGTTAGATGTCTTTATTTCTGTCTACCTCATATTTGCTTTGTTTTTGTTTTTTTGTTTTGTTTTGTTTTTGGCCATGGTCTCACTATGTAGCCCTGGCTGTCCTGGAACTTGGGCTATGTATACCAGGCCGGCCTGGGATGGCCTGCTACTGCCTCCCAATTCATGGAATTAAAGGCATGTGCCACATTGCCCAGATGCACCTGATTTCTTGAGACAAGGTCTCTCAGTGAACCTGGAGCCCATGGTTTTGGTTTCAGCTAGACTAACTAGCCAGTGAGCTCCAGGAATCCTTCCATCTCCACTCCCCAGGGCTAAGCTTACAAGTCTATGCCATCACACCAACTCTTACATGGATGTTGCAGATCTGAGCTCATGTCTTCACACATTATGGATGACTTCCCCAGCACATGCCCTTCATATTTTGCGTTACAAGAAAGAGAAACACTCTAGAAATCACTGGCAAGCAGACTTCTACTTTTATAGAAACTACATCTACTTAACATCAAAAATGCTGTAAGTTTTTTCTACAAAAAGATTGAGGCCTGTCCTACTGCGGCCTCCTAACACACTTCTTTTGAACGTGGATAGACGTCTTCCCAGTGCTTTCCTTACTCAATTCCTTTTGCTTTCAGCTCCTCCTTGACACGTGTCAGGTAATGAGGATCAGGGTAGCCAAAACTGCATGAAGAAAAGGGAATTCTGTTAGCTTCCTCCCAAATAATTTTCAAGAATCTGTACAATAGCCAGGAATGGCGGCACAGGCCTTTAATCCCAGCACTGGGATGGCGACAGCAGTCAGATCTCTGTGAGTCTGAAGCCAGCCTGGACCACACAGTGAGACCCTGCCTCTAAACAACAACAAAATCTGTACAATTTACATTTGAGCATCTGGTATTCTGGGATCCAGCATCCTCAGGCAATCAGACAGTGGCTGGTATCTAGTCACTGAAGTGCCCCGCTGACTGACCAGCATCTGTTTTCCAGACAGATTGCTTAACACCTTAGCTCATTCCTAGTACTGATGCACATAATGTTATAAAAGCCAAATTCTACAGAGAAGGTAATCATATGATAGTAAGACTTTCAAATTGGGAAACTTGACAAAGTCTCAGGGTAGTTTTCTTTTGGATGCCACAAGTAGAGGAATTCTGAGTTTTATAAAATACAATCAGATTTCAAATTACATCTCCCATCATCTTGGGACTCTTTATACCGAAGACTTTTTTTCTACCGTGTTTCATCCATGTGAGTTTAGCATCTTTGTGGAAAATGGGAAGACAGGGGTGAGGGAGAGTAAGGTGACCTTAAAAGAAACTAAAGCAGGGCTGTTGACATGGCTCAGAGGTTAAAAGCACTGATTGTGCTTCCAGAAGACCCAATTTCAATTCCCAACACCCACATGGTAGCTCACATCTGTCTGTAACTTCAGGTGATCTGACAGCCTCACACAGACATAAAAGCAGGCAAAACACTAATGTACATAAAAGTAAGTAAGTAAGTAAGTAAATAAATAAAAAAGAAACAAAAAATCAAAGCAAATAACATTCCTAGGATCTTCCTTTCAAATTGACATGAAACCCTAAAATCAACTTGGGCACCATTCATCTGGGGTTCTGAAACCCCTTTCTTCTGATGCATTTGGTGGGAGGGGGTGTAGAAACAAGGTTTCTCTATGTAGACCTAGCCATCCTGGAACTCTCTCTGTAGACTAAGATGGCCTTGAGCTTAGAGATCCACCTTCTTCTGTCTCCTGAGTACTTCAGTTAAAGTTGTGCCTCTACCCTGCCCATCTTTGATACAAAATTTACTAACCAAGGCAAACATTATGAATGGCAAGTAGAAAGTTGGAGGGACCAAATTTTTTCTTCAAGACAGTGTTTCTCAACACAGCCCTGGCTGCCCTGGAGCTTCCTCTGTAGACCAGGCTGGTCTCAAATTCAGAGTTCCACTTGTCTCTTCCTTTCAAATTCTGGGATTAAAAGCATGTGCCACCACTGCCTCGCTGGGATCAATACTTTTTTCATTAAGCTATCATTATGGATTAGTATTTTGCTGTGTGTGTTGGCTAGTTTTAAGACACAATTGGAGTCATCAGAGAGGAGGGAACCTCAACTGAGGATCTGCTTTCTTGTGCAGTCTTAGCACAACTTTAGTCTTAGCACAGAGGGAGTCTGGCCTGGTCTACAGAGTGAGTTCCAGGACAGCCAGGGATAGACATAGAAATTGCCTCCATAAGATCCAGCTGTAGGCAAGCCTGTAGGAAAGTTTCCTTTCTATTTTCTTTCCTTTCCTTTTCTTTTCTTTTTTGAGACAGGGTTTCCCAGTAGCTTTGGAGCCTGACCTGGAACTCACTCTATAGACTAGGCTGGCTTCAAACTAAAAGAGATCCATCCACCACCTGGCACAATTTTTTATTTTTAGTTTTGGTTTTTCGAGGCAGGGTTTCTCTTTTTAGCTTTAGAACCTGTCCTGGAACTTGCTCTGTAAACCAGAATTCACAGAGAACCTACTGCCCTCTGCCTCCCAAGTGCTGGCATTAATGGCATACACCACCACCGCCTGGCACATTTCCTTAATTAGTGATTGATGTCCAATCCACTGTCAGTGGTGCTGCCCTGAGATGGTTGTCCTGGGTGTCTATAAGAAAGCTGGTTGAACAAGCCATGGGGAATAAGCCAGTAAGCAGCATCCCTCCATGGCCTCTGCAGCAGCTCCTCCAGTTTCCTGCCTGGTTTGAGTTCCTGCCTCCTCTTCCCTCAGTGACTATGACTCAGGAGATGTAAGCCACATACACCCTTTCTTCCCTAGGTTGCTTTTGGTCATCACAGCAACAGAAACCCTAGCTAAGACACTGGGTAACAGCTACTGCTAGAATGCCTTTTCATACCACAGCCTCAAACTGCTGCACTTAACACCCCCTATACTTTGTTCAGCAACCATTACATTTCAAAGGGCTCTTACTTTTCTGGTCCTCCAAACGTGGATGTTTTGTGATGGATGTCATTCCATGTAATGACATCGGAGGCTCCTGATACTCGAGAGTACCCTATTGTGAAAATCAGCTTGTTGTTAAAGGCTTCTCTGAGCAGACCCAAGACCTTTCTTCCCTCCTTATTATCAGGCAAGTATGCAATTCGTTGTGTTCCATAGTAGGGCTTTCCTGGGTTTGGATGCTCATCCTGTATGAGGAAAGGAAAATGTTAAGTAAAAAATGGCATGCCTCTGAAATTTACTATACTAAAGGGACGCGCATTATAGGTGAAGTCTATTGTAGACCCAAAAGAAAATTCTCTTTTGCTCATATTCTGAATAATTCACAGTTCTTCTCTTCAGAATACAGTCGTACCCACCCATCTCCTCCCATCCTGACATATGGTCTCTACCTTCAAAAAAAGACAAGAAAGTCTAGATGCACAGCTTGGCAGTGCTTGCTTGGCATGCACAAGGGCTGGGTTCAGCCCCAACACTGTTGAAATAGCAGAAAAGACATCCAAGTTCTAAGCGAACAGTATGGCCTCTAGCTATTGTGTCCTTACCATAATCACTGAATGAGTCCCAGGAAAATCAGCATCTAAGAGGCTACAGGACGACCCCTTGGGTGCTGGTAACTCTAGCAGAGCCAAAAGAAACTCACGTTCCTCTGGTACACTTACTGTTTGGATGCCACTTTGCATTATGTATTGAATCACAATTGTGCCACAGTCTGCATAACCCGGAAGTGACTGACGTGAAGTGGTGACAGTCATGGTTCCATTTGGCTGGTTCCCTTTCTGGATACCATAGGACGTCTGACACAGAGGACAGACAGGCTTGAATGACAAGGCCTTGGTGATACAAGGGGAGCAGAATTCGTGCTTGCACTTAGGGAGCACATGCTTGTTGCTAATGGTATCCATGCAGATGGCACAGGAATCTTCATTGTCATTTGCCTTCAAGGCCCCAGAGCTGTTAGCAGAGCCTCTGAGAGGAGGTGAAGCTGCATTTGCATCATTCCTGTCAATATCCATGGGTGTCTCGTGATCCACATTTAAGCTCTCTGCAGACGGTAGGGACAGTTCCATTCTTTTGAACAGATACTGTTTTGCCTGTGCAAGCTGATTTGGCAAACCCATCAAAGTCATTGACTCTTTAGATATCTCGAAGTGTACATTTGGGTGCTTTTCCTTTAAGTCATCGACAAACTTGGTCTTGTGTAAGTGAGCTCTCCCCTTGCCCAAATGTTTCAGCGGCAGGACTTCTGTCGTTAGCTGACACATGGCATGTTGGAATGCATCAGTGAAACTGGCATAAGAGTGCACGGACAGGTCGACCTCCTTATCCTTGGGTTCAAATAGAATGCAGGTTTTCTGGGTTTTCTCCTGGATATTTACACAAGTGTTATACTTCTGCTCTATCTCTGAGATTTCCTGGAGCAATGCTGGTTTTAGAAGGTTGAAGTGAGTCGAATCAACCTGAATCCCTGTCATGTAACCAGAGGACATTATTTCCACAGGAGTCTTGAAGGAAGTTTGGGAGACTTTTTCTGTGGCAGCTGAAATGTCAGCTTGAGACCCGAGGAGAGTTAGCTTTCTTCCCTGTCCCTTTATTAGGAGCTTTGGGAAGCAGCGATTCAACTCCTGTCTGAGTTCCATTGCTCTCTGAGGGTCCTCTAAAGAGAC